TTAAATTTATTTTTTATGTCATTTCATTTTATTTAATTTATTATTATTGCAATAAATGGTCTGAATCTCACGATCTATAATATATATCCATGATGATGATTGATGTAAAGTGGGTTACTTACAGTAGCGGCAAACCAAAACAGTCCTACTCGAAGGGGAGTGAGCAGGCAGCAGTGGTCTCCAAGCTAGGATTTGTTGTGTGTTCGATGGTATTAGCAAGGAATCGTTCACTATAAGCTGCTAATTTACGGCCAAACTCTTGATTCGTACTTGTAGCCATCGCCCAAAAGCGCTTTGGCCAGAAGCTCCGGGCTTTTGTCTATGGCGTTTGATTTGGCTGGTGAAGAGCTAGCACTAAGAGGGGTGGGTGAACATCGATATACCCAAATTTTTGCCAATAGGGTCAAAGGTTTTTATGAAAGAGGTGTAATATATTACTTTCAAAACGGCAAAGAGTTGTCGAGAAAGACGGTGCTAAGCCGAAGTAAATTTGAGAATTCTAACTATTGGGAATGAAGTCTTCAATTTAATGGAAAAATAGTGGATTACTTTCTATTTGATCGAGCGGTTTTCTATATTCATGGCTATATTCACTTCAAAGGTACTGTCATTTCGCGTCGTTTTCAGTAGATGTCGTTTGTTTTAGCGTGAACAACAATTTGCTTCATTCATTCATTTGAAAATGCCGAAATTTGTTCCAGATAAAGTGTTTTTGCGGGTAGTTCACCTTCATTACTTTAACATGAAGAAAAGTGCTACCGAAAGCCATCGTATTTTACTGGACGTTTATGGTGACCATGCTTTAGCCGAACGATCGTGCCAAAAGTGGTTTGCACGTTTAAAAACTATTTGGAAAACTGTCGGTAGGAATTTCTCCATCACCCGCCTTATAGCCCAGACATAGCACCTTCCAATTACCATTTGTTCAGATCAATGCAGAATGCCCTCACCGGAGTACGCTTCACTTCAGAACATGGTATCAGAAATTGGCTCAATTCTTTCCTGACCTCCAAGCAGGAGAAGTTCTTTTGGGATGGGAGCCACAAACTGCCATAAAGGTGGGCAAACATCGTAGCTTCCGATGGCCAATACTTTCAACATTAAATTTATAACAATTTTTCACAAATTTTCGAAAAAAACCCGTACGAATTAATGCATACACCCAATATTTTATCTTATTTCATTTTATTTTAATTTTTTATTTATTTAATTTTTGTCATTTAATTTTATTCTGTTTTATTTTATTTTATTTATCTTTATTTAAGGCATTTTACTTCATTTTACATTTAATTTAATTTTGTTTCGCTCAAATTGATTTATTATTTAATTATATTGATTCTGTATTTTATTTGATAGAATGTTAATTTATTTTATTTTTATTTTTTAATATCATTTTGTTTACCGGTTTTTGATTTTAATTTAATACAATTTATTGTAGTTATATTTTCTTTAATTTTTTTAATGTTTTATAACTGAATTTATTTAATTTCACAATTTCAATTTATTTTATTTTATTTTAATTTATGTTGAGTTGAGTTTTTTTAATTTTAGTTAGTTTTACTTTATTTTCGTATTTAATTTAATTTATTATTTTATTTTATTGATTAATTATATTATTTTTGATCTAATTTTATTTTATTTTATTTTTTTCAGTATTATTTTGTTTTCTGTTTTGCGATTATATTTTTAATTTACTTTCTACCGTTTTTTTATTTAGTTATTATTTTATGATTTTATATTATATTAATTTTATGCATTTTTAAACATATTTGACTTTATTTATTTTTGTTTTATTTTAATTTAATTTATATATAATTATTTTTTAAATGTTAGTTAAAAATAGACATCTTAGCTTACCAAAAATTTATAACATAATTATAGTTTATTTAATTTTATGTAATGTTTATTCTTTCTTTATTTCTATTGTGGTTTATTGTATGTATTTTTTCTGTTTTTTCTTCCTCTTTCTGCTTATTTTATGTCATTTTATTTTACATATATGTTTTCCTCTACTTTTTTATTGTAATTTTTTTTTTGCTTTTTTGCATTTCTTTTCGCCGACGAAAGTACATTTGTATGTATTATTCCGTGTATACGAACTTCGACTTTGGGTTGGTCAGTGAGGGAGCCATTTACATAACATATACGTGTACACTAGTGAATTTGACTTGTGCAATTATGCAACACTTGAGGCATCGAAAAGTAAGTGCTTTATTTTTTTTTGCTTATTATAAATTCAAGTTTTTTATACACATTTACTTAATCAGTTTATGTTTGCTCTGAAATCTATTTTCAATAGAAAAATGCTAAGGCTCCGAAATGTGTTTTTCATATTTCCCAGCAAGTTTTATTTACTTTAATAGTTTATATTATTTAAAGATAAAAAACAGATATATTTTTTTTTTTGCTTTTTGTTCAGAGAGAAGCCTAAGAGTTAACAAAATTTTGAAATCTTTTCTAAAACTCGACAATTAAATATTTTCATTACTTTTGCTACACTAGTTTTGCTCTGACTTTTTATAAACGTTAACAACCACTGAAACTATATATTCCAAATATTTATTTATTAATTTTTTTAAAAATTGTATTCGTATTTCCGATGTGGTGGCAGAAATTTCGCGTTGCCTGCAGTGCAATTCGGACGTAGTGAATATTAATTGTAGCCCGAAATGAAAGAAAAATAATTATAATACAAGGTTTGCATAGCCGGAATAGCTACAGTGGGAAACCACGTATGTGATTTGTCCATGCATTGCATACTTCGAGGCGTTCAATGCATGCTTGCGTATGCAGAGACACCATACAACACCAAGTGAGCGTGTATTGCGCCTGAAGGAAGAACCTCAAATACTCTTATGCATACACATGTATGTAGATGGCCGTGCATGTGCAAAGCACTCATAGACAGAACTACTCTTTCGCCTTCTGGTATTAATGAGTTATTTGGTCATCTTAGTTATTTTCATTTCTTTCTAGCTGCTCTAATTGCATCTCTTTTATTTACTTGCTTTGCAAATTTATTTTTCAAACCTTTTTCTGAAAGGAATTTTTCATTTGTGGCTGCATGCATGCTGTTGTTTCTTAATTTTGGCGACATTTAATTTCACGAATCGTTTTTTTTTTGTTTCTTCTATTATAAAACCAAATAATATTGGTGACAATGTTTTGTATTGTATTGTGTTGTGTATATTTTGCAACGCTGTTAGTGTGGGTGCAAGAATAATACGAAGCTATGAAACTATTTTGGCTCATTATAGATACATTTGTGCTTACTCACATACACATGTTCATATGTAGTAGATAATATTACGACATTTTAATATAAGACTTTACTATTTTAATATGTTTGTTTATTAGTTATTTCACTTGAGGGTCCGCTTGGCCGAACATTTCATTGTGGGAGAAAATAACGAAATGAAATAGTAAATTTTTTGCACATTATAATTTGAGTTTGTCGTAGATAGTGTTATTTAATTTTATTTATATTAATTATTTTTATTTTAAATCAAGTTAATATTATTTCATTTTATTTTTATTTCCTTTATTTTATATCAATTTAATTTAATATATTTTTTTAATTTTGTTTTATTTTATTTTAATTATTATATTTTGTTTTATCTTCTTATTTGATTTAATTTAATTTTTTTTAACAATTTTTTTTTTTAATTTTAATAATTTATTTTTAATAAATTTTATTTTATTTCAATTGATTTATTTAAAATTTATATTTTATAAATATTTATTTTGTTTTAATTGAGTATTTTTACTATTACTTAATTTTATATCATATTTTATTTGATATTATTTTAATTAATTTAATTTAATTTATTCACATTATTTCGTTTTGTTTCAGTTTATTTTATTTTATGATATTTTATTTTTTATTTTAACTTCATTCAATTTGATTGACTGTATTTTGCTCAATTTTTCCCAAACAAATTCGAAAATGGTCAGTCTAGTTTAGTAAAGTCGTTACTTGTCACGGATCTTAGTTCTAGTCAGTTTACTTCACTCGATCTAAAATCGTAGCTGCTAATCCACTGGAAAAGGGTCAAACGGTAACTGCAAAACGGTACACCGAAGAGTGCTTACCAAAAGTTTTCAAAAATTTTTTGAAAAACAGGAAGAAAGAGGATTTGCGGCGCTACCTTTCGTATCATGACCAAGCGCCTTCCCACTTAGCTGGAAAACTCAGCGCCATATGCCCCGTATATAGCACCTTGTGATTTCTGGTTATATCCAGAAATTAAAAAAAAAAACTTAAAACGAAATGTCTTAAAATTCTGATGTGGTTAACGCTGAATTTGATAAGCTTTAAAAGCAAGATTTGGAAGACTGTTTTCAGAAGTGGATCTTAAGGTTTAAGAAATGCATTGAAATCCATGGCGATTACGTAGAGAAGATAAAAAAGGACAAAGTTTACGATTAAATCCAAATTTAATTTTTATTAATTTTTCTTATGTGTAGTAAGCTGCTTGCCTCACTAGTGACGCTGCATATAGACCCTAGTCAACCCAAAAACCGAATGTCCGAAAGATACTCCAACAGGGGTGTGAAAGCACATCTCGTACAAGGGTTACACATATTTCCCGTCTGTACGATACACTCGTAGATGTAAGAGTAAGAATGGAGCATAGTCTTTCAACCACCACTCATGATAAGGACTCTACTACGTTAAAGGGCTCTCCTAACGTTATCGGTGGTCGCCGTAAAAAAATCAACATATTAAAAAAGCTTCTCTTTAGAAGCAAATTTTAGGTTTTCAAAAAAGGGCGCCCTATACGCCGGTTCTTGGAAGCACATGGTTAAAAGTTACTCCCGCTATCAGGAAGATAAATTTTTGGATACGGCGAAGATCTACCCCCCTAAATTTACAAGCTATTAGAAAGACGCGAGAAAGCAAAAACAACTAATCCAATAAGTTTTCCAAAAAAAAGAGTTTACTCTAGTCACACCTGGGAGTGAATAGTAAAAATTATTGTATATTTTTCAATACTCACGATGAACTGAATGTTTTGGGACAAGAGCTGCAAGCCAACTCGCTGCTCAATTTTTTTGGCTTTTTAGCCGTCGTAGGCTCCGGATTTGCCGAGGTCGTTAGTTCAACACTCATCCCTTCATTCACCGGAACGCCATGCACTGACTTCATGTGATCCTTAAGATTATGGCTGCGAGCAAATTTCATATCACAGACTTCGCAAATGAAATTCTTCTCATTTGTATGCTGACGTAAATGGCAACGGAGCGAGTATTTGCGAAACTCCTTCGAACAAATTGGACATTCGATAATTTGAGTTTTGCTCAATGGGCCGAGTGTGTGATGAAGACGATGAAATATCAGCTCCGATTCAAAGGGGGCGCTGTGGGGGAAATCGGTTGCAAATAAGTCAAGTTACTTAGGTGCTGAGTATGAGTATCGCAAATGACAGTTTTACCTGAAATCACACAAGTCGCAGCTGAAGCTATTTTCTCCACATTTCTTAATTTCAGCCGCAGCCTTCGATGTGCTTGCTTTCGGCTGGCAGTTGCGTGTGTGACGCCCTAATGCTTGTGGCAACGCAAAACTCTCACCACAGCTCAAGCAGACATGGCTCAGTAGGGGATGTGAGACGTCACGGTGTTCCTTTAGCGACTCTTTACAGTCGAAGAACTCGACACAGTCCTTACATTTGAGCTTTGGTAACTCGATAACTTTTGGTTTGGTTGGTTTTTGCTCGAGTTTATTGTTTTTGCCAGCGCACGCGGTGCTGCTGATTGTTTTATTAGCCACATTGCAATCAGCACCGCTCTTATGGTGTGCGAGCTCATGTAACATGGCTTCTACGTCGGATGAGGCGCTGCATGGGTGAAGGGAAATTTAATTATTTTAATGAAGAATATAATAAAAAAAAGTTTTCAACTCACATGAAATCACATTTGCCGCAACTATTGACATTCTTCACAGCCGTCGTCCGCCTCACACCTAGGCTCTTCGCCGCCTCAGCAGCGCACTTACGATGCACCAACGTTTTTCGATGCCGGCGCGCCTGACATGGCGTATTGAATACCATTTTACATATCGAGCAGAAATATTTATTGATGCTGTGCTTGTTCTTCTCGTGTCGTTGCAATGCGATCTTCGAACGAAACATGTCTGCGCATGTTGTACATTCGTAACGGTTTTGATATTCATTCGAAATGGTGCCACACAGCTCCTTACCCGGATGACAGTCTAACATATGTCTACGCAGTTCGGCGTTGTAACGAAACTTATCGCCACAGCGATTACAGTCGAAGCTCAATGGTTTGCTAATGCAGATCGGCACCGAGCGGTTAATGGCGAGTATGACTTCTTTATGTTCGACGCCGAGCAAGTGGCGTCGCATTTGATTGTTATCCTCACATTCGAAGTGACAGTAGCTACACCAAAACTTTCCGAGTCCTTCCGTAGCGTCCTGATGCGTTGATGAGCTCCAGTGTTGCAGGAACATCTCCTCAGTGTTGGTATAGAAGCGACATGGCCGACACTGGAACGGCGACTGTAAGACTATAGAGTGTATATTCTCCAGTATCATATGCAGCGACTTCGTGGGATTATTTTGCATACGTCTGTAGTGGTAGTGTGAGATCAAGTGTTTGCCCACTAGATGGCGCAACATGCTGAGTTTGCAGAGCTGACATTTAATGAAGTTGGCGCGTCGTTTGCGTTTCTTGGTACAGCCACTGCGATTGGAAGCCTTCGTCTCTTCAACCTCTATCACCAGACTTTTACTCAACTCGCCATGAAGAATATCACCCAACTCCGCTTTTTCCAATTGTCTTTCGGGCTCGGCGCGTTTCAAATGATAACCGGTTTTTAGATGGTTCTCATAATTTGTCTTGTTCTTCAAGCGACGACAGCAAATATTGCACCAATATTCTTGATTTGCCGACTTTGCAAGTTCGACTACTTCCTCCTTGTATTCGAGGCGCTGCATTTTGGTGCCTGGTATCCACTTACCTTTAGTATGCCCGACGGGCGGATGTTGGCCTTCGAGCACCTCAACGGTGTCTAGCTCTTCGACGTGCTCATCCCAGTTTGGTGAGATACGTGTGAGTTGCGCGTGTGCGACATGCAATGTTGGTCGTTGCTCTGGACGCCACTTGCCGCCGGTATGTGATTCCGGCACCACGGGCGGTGAGTGTCGCATTGTTGGCGGCTTCCATTTACCGCCACTTGCATGCGCATCCTCTAAAGGATCGTAATCCTCATCGTCATCATCCATCTCCCCCTCCACTTCCACATCATCGTCTTCCTCTTCGCTAGCTTCGGGTGATTCGTGTATGTAGGTTATGGGCTTATAAACTTCGTAGTTCTTTGTTTGTTGTTCCACATTACCGCCACTGGCAGCGTGTGTATCCGACATCCATGGCCCGTCAGCCGACGCGATATTTTCAGCAGAATCGGTTTTCTGTTGGCGCTGCGGTAGCGTTGTTAACGTTTGATTGTGTGCGCCCAAACTCTGTTTACCACTTGTTGAGGGTCCTGCCGATTGTACGCTCTGCAGCTGTAATGAGGAGAAAAAGACATCAGCGCCCAGCTCGTAGGGTAGCTCATAAGAGTCGGCAAGTGATTTGGTTGTCTTGCCGCCATGTGTTGACTCTTTATTGAAGTGTTCTGGTTCCGTAAATGAAAATGTGTCGTAAGTGTGATCGAGATGTGCGCGTGGCGTGGAAATTATTTCGTTGTGATCCGCATGTGGCGTGGCATGATCCTTCTTCTCTCGCACGGCGGTACTGTTGAGGTTGGTACACTGCGTCTTTCGATGTGCGATGTAAGCTTCTAGGCCGACAACCGTGGACTTGCATTTGATGCAGAGATGTGTGTCGTCCAAGTCAGGGTCGATCATTTCTGTGTTAGCTCTCTTAGATCTTGGGTTTTAGTCTGTAATGGTAAGAGCAATAACAACCATGCAATAAGATTTGAGGAGAGTAAAGCAAAGCAATTAAAAAGAGTTTATTTTGTGCTCAACACTCAAACACGCTTACGACAGATGATCATGAAGAAATATCCATAGCCTAACCAATCTCATTTCAATGCTTTTTATGCCTTAAACTGCCTCACACTAGAACACGGTGGAACGTGGCAACCGTCAGATTTTTAATTTTTCTGCCCTGGCTGGTATTTCGGACATTTTCTTGCCGCTTGTCCGTCCAAGACGGACCAAGTCGTTGATCGGATTTTGTTTCCTGGCAAGGTCGAATGGCCACACGGAGCTCCTGTACAATTGTGTCCCACCTCTGATTTTCACTTCCCAACCCTCGAAATGTACACTCCGAGCCGTAAAATACGATTAGAGGTTGCATCATCCAGATCCACCTTCAACTCTGGCTGGTATAGCTTTTGGACATGTTCTGTTCTCAGCCAATGACCAAAATAATTCACACTACTGGTCATATTTCATTTCCTTCATTTAAGGCAACCCCACCAGACCAATAGCGAAAGTAAGCTTCAAAATCTCGAAAGAAGCGTCAGTTTTGATTTCTTGGTTTGACCAAATGAAAACGATCCCTAGTTGCGTGCCAGAGTATCGGCTGGAACTATACACCAAGACTGTTGATATCATGAACGGTCCCATGGGGGACGAATTAGATAGCGCCTAACCAGAACACAGCATAAAGTGGTGTGAAAATTTCGGTTGGGGTTCTGTGGAACTAAGACCCGCATACTGTAGTGGATTAAAATACCATTCCTCCACACTATACCACGACATAACCAACAAATGTCCAAAATGCAACGTTGTGGAAGGACGAAACGAAACACCACCTTGTATGCCATCCTGAAAAATTAACTTTTTCAAAATAGCTAGTTTCATGAGATGCGATCATTGACATCAACTAGTTTTGCTGACTGACATTCTACAAAGCAAGCCTGACTCCTTTAAGACTCTCACCAAACGATCAGCTATGCATTGACCTCTTCTCCTTCTCGATTTCCCCACTTTGCATATTTCGTGACGCTGATTTACGCGCATCGCCTGACAGCAGCACTTCGTCAACGCGCTTGCGAAATGAAATCGTTAAAAATTGTACGAAAACAACAAATTACGAGTTATATTAACGGCCCAAATCGTTAACCATAACTTAGGCAACGGCACGTCGCTGCCCGTATTGGCCATGTCCATGGATGGACGCAATGTGCTGCAGCAAGCATATTGAGTGGCCTAACTTCCCACTCGTCCATTTGTGAGTAGACGATGCGCATATCACATAAAGTATCGCGCATTCCTTATTTAATGATTTCTGAGTTACAATCGTCGGACGGCGCTCTTTGCTGCCGCCTCAGCACACGCATTCGCGTTCTAAGATATGGGCGAGTGCGCGCAGCGCGGAAATATAACAAATGCGCACACAAATCTCAGCAGGTACAATGCGCAACATTTTCACTACAACTTATGAGCAGTGCGCTGGCAACAAATGGACCGCATTGCAGTGACGTCGTAACACTGCAACAGATCAATTCAACGTTGGAACGAACCAGGATGGATACCAGTAGACGTTTTGCGTAGTTCACCAGTTGAGTTTTACTATTGTCGCAAGCGCGCGTATGCGCCGTCGTCTTTTATTCATGCCGCAGCAACAACAAATATGACGCACAATCATCTGCTTGGGCAGTACACTTTTGCGGGCGATCGCAGGAGTTACGTTGGAAGAGGTGAAACAAAAGTACACAAAATTAATGTGGCTTTTAACAGCAGTGGCTGCATTGTGAGTGCACTTGTGCAACGTTGGGTCTGTGCGCGCTTGCGCCTTAAATTATTAATATTACCAAATGAGTCAATTTGAAATAAATAAGCGCGATCAGAATCATTGCAATCGCATCGACTGTAGATGCAGCACAACGCCAATACGGACGTAGTTGCGGGAATAGAGTTGTCGTGCCACAGATGCTGTGAAGCGCGCAACATTGATGCACACGCCTAGGCGTGCGAAGCTTCATGACAGCAGCCCATTTGTTAGGTGTACTATATTGCGCGCTGTGTGTGTGTGTGCGCGCGCGCGCGCGGTAAAGAGTTTATTTTTTCGCCAATCAATGGCGGAGATATGATGTTGCGGCAGCGGCATTGATTATCGCTCACACATCTGACAATCTATGCGCAATTAGCGATACAATGTGGCACTTGCACCATCGTTGTCACAAATAACAGGCGAGGCTATGTGGGCAGCTAGAGAGTTATATAGATAGATATCTACACAAATAAAAGTGTTAGACGAAGTTTATGTCGATAAAGTACATGTTGCGATATTGTAAAAGCAGCTTCAAATTGAGTTCATAAAATTTCATCGAATTGTTTTAGTAGTCGCTCGGAAGGGATCAGAATAAATGTGAGAGTTATATTGTTCACTGAGTTACTTTGCTTGTACACATTTTCAGTTCAAGAGAGAGACTCAATTACGGTGTATTCCTCCGTTTCTATTTATTACAAATATCATCGTTCTCTAATTAGGGCAGGCAATACATCTCATTGGTATTGTCAATGTCGACGGAGATTTGTTTTCGAGATCTTACCAATTCATCTTCATGCTAACACGTTTCTCATATTATTTGTCAAATTTAGCTGACGGGGACTTTCCCAACTACTCAAGTGCCCATTATAAAAGTCTTTTTCTTTTCCTCATTATTTTACGGTGAGTCATAGCTTAGAGTTTCTTTTTGTTGGTCACATCTATGCTTTTTCCCAATTCCATTTTTTTCGTCCATAATTCCCTTCGCCCAATGACTCTTAACAATTTATCTTTGCAAACACATGGCAAAGTTACAATTTACTATGTCGAGTCTTATTACTGTAGAAGAGTAGCTCAGAGAATGTGTATTTATTACAGGAAATAAAGGCTCCTTATAGAAATCCAGTGGCGGTTCGGAGGGATATATATATTTTGATTGATTGAGCGGCCCAGGCGGTGTCCAAGACCAGGTTGATGGCCAGGAAAGTTTTGCTGTGTATTTAGTTGAATTGGCATGGACTCATCTGCTACGAGCTGCTCCCCTATGGCCAAACGCTCAATTAGGCCCTCTACTGCCAACAAATGGACCGCTTGAATGCAGCACTCATCCAGAAGAGGCCATATTTGATCAACAGAGCTCGAATTGTGTTCCATCACGACAACGCCAGGCCACACACGTCTTTGATGACGCGCCAGAAGCTCCACTAGCTCGGATGGGAGGTCCTAATACACCCTTCTTATAGTTCGGACCTGGTACCTAGTGAGTACCATATTTTCCTGTCTATGGCGATTGCGCTTAATGGTGAGAAGTTGGCCCCAAGAGGGGCCAGCGAAAATTGTCCCCCTGAGTTGTTTGCCAATAGGGACGCAGCCTTCTACGAGAGGGGTATAATAAAGTTGGCATCTCTTTGGGAACAAGTTTACGAACAAAACGGACAAATGCATGCAAAGTTATAATATTTTGAAAATCAAAAAAAAAAACCGAACGAACTTTTTACTTGACCTAATATATATATATATATATATATAGTTATTATACCGCTGAAGCGATTTTTAGCCGAACTCCTCCTTCTGGAAATAAGGTGGTTTTATTTTATACAGCCTATATTTGCTAAGCCGTTCTACAACTTCGTCCCAAGTAGTGAGAAATTGGTCCATTTCTGAGAATCGGGGTAACTCTTTTCTTGAGTTTATAGACAATTTCCACAGCGCGAGTGTTTCCTCTGTGAGCTTTGAGGAGCAGCTTTTTGTGGCTACTTCATTTGATTTGAGGGTGGAGAGGCCGCTGTTGATGGTAGTTTGGATATCTTGTATCCTTTCTCCAGTTTCCGAGTGGGCCGGTTGAATGCTGAATAGGGTTTTGATTTTACCATCAACGGCTATTCTACGATTTTCGTAGCGGGACTTGAGAGCATCCCATGCGAGAGTAAAATTGAGATCATTGAGCGCGTAAGTTTCTTTGAATAGGGCATCTTTTCCTCTTGCTTTCTGCCTTAAGCAGTACCAAGATTTCTCAAGAATGGCTAAGCCGATTAGTCTCAAATTTTTACACGGGCTGAACAATATTTTCTAGTACTCAATCGAATTTTTCCATTACCGATGAAAAGTTTTTTAATGTGCAATTCAAGACCAAAATTATGGAGACAAATTTAGTTTTTTTTGAGAAGCAGCTATTTTGTCTAAAAATTTTTTTTTGGCTTATGCCTTCGATTATGTACTACTTTAACGGAATCCATTTGATTTTTTTCTTACAGTTGATTCACTTAAGAAATACAATGGTCAACGCAAAACGCCAAAAACTTTTATTTTTTAAATAAAAAATTGCTTACTACTCTTCAAAGGTGCCGTAATATGTGCACAAATGCTCAAAAGAATAAATCTAAAAGTTTCTTTGTGCCAAATTTTTGAAACACCTCATTTTTTAGGGCTCCTAACTAGATGTAACCCCCTACCGGCGGTAGCGGTAGCCGTGTGGCTAGCTTGCAAAAACCACAAATTTGAGGAGGAGCTCGGCAGAAAAGCGCTTCAGCGGTTACAAAGCGCCAATTATATATATATATATATATATATATATATAACCCCTTATAATTAGGGGCAGAAAACAGGCGCAAGCTACCAAATGTGGTAAATACGGCGATTGAAGCATGATTAGGTGTTGTCTTTGGCCAAAAAACTATGTACGAGCAACGACGTCTGATGGTGTAAGAGCCATTAATTGATTTTCCACTATTCCTAGTACGGTGGAAATGAAAGAAAAGAAAGAATTTTTGATCAATAACGCTATGATAATAGGATAATAAAAAAAAGCAAGAGGTCTTGGCTCTACTGGGCTTTTTCATTGGAAAGAAGTTGATTGCGGAAAAATTTTGATTACATCAGGCAAGCAATATATCGAGACCCTCAGTAACTTCTCTGATTCGTAT